TGACCACGAATGACCACGAATGACCACGAGTAATTCTGTGTTTAAAAATCTTAAAATAATAATAAGAACTATTTTAAGGTGGCTCCCTAAGGTTATTGCATTATACTCATAGAAATAATAGATTATCTATTAAAAGTAGATAATCTATTATTTCTATGATTATACTTAGAAATAATATCTATTATTTCTATGATTATCAGGGCATTTTTTAACTATATAACTGGGGGGGGGGCCAAAGCCCCCCCAGCCCCCATGGTGGCCCCCCCCCACTCAACCATTTTGGCCTCCCCAGTCAAAGTCCCTTTTCTCTAAAATATAAGCAAAACATGGAATTTAGAAGGGAGGTTTGCTATTCTAGTAACTGAAATTTGCTTTGTGAATCTTATGTCCTGTCTTTTATGTTTAATAAATACCTTATTAGATTTTAAACATTTCCCAGGCAGTGGATTGCATTTCCCAGACCCTATAGATTTGAGTTGTTGGACAAGTTAGTGACCGCAGGGGGCAACAGGCCCTCAACCAAGTGTTTTATAAGAGGGGGGGATAATTTTGGCCCCCACCAAAAAAAAAACAATTTGATTTCGAAACTAGAAGTATTTGAAATCATATATACATATAATCAAATATCTGTAATCGATATTTTGATAACATTTCTCGTAATAATCCATCCTGACTCGCGGATATCATAGACTCACAAATCATAATGAACGAATTAATGAAAGGGCCAAACAAAAGACGTATAGAAGACTTTGAAAATGCCATTTCCGATGATTTAGAGACGCAAAATTTTCAAAAATTTTCCGCTCTGTGCCAGCCATGGTGGCGCTTCGTGGGAGTCGGGAACTCTAAGTTTATCAAGCTGGCTCCCTAAGTGACGGCCAAGTTGTGGTATCTACATAAACATACTATGCAAGTACTTAATTAACTGAAGGTTCAGTCTATCTACAGCATAATGTAATGCTGTATATCCAAAAATCTGTTTCAGAAAATGCAGGGAATTGCAGTCATAGGGGTAGAAAAATACAAAAATTTTCTGGGGGAGAAAACCCAGGGCCGTAGCAATTACCCATACTTTCTTGCAACTTATCCAATATATCGTTAATTAAATACACCTTCGTCCATTTAGTACTACTGAATTCTAAATTTCCACATACTAAAAACGCTGTTTTCTGACAATCAGAAATCTGTCAAATCTTCCCCAAAGTCCAGGAAATGGCATTTCAGAGACTCTAAATTTAAAAATTTCCTCGGGCCTTCGGCCCTCGCTTTCAGCCCCCCCCCCCAAACGAAAAGAGCTTCCTACGGCCCTGCTCTCCCCCCCCCCCTACTATTAAATGCGATACCACACCAAACTTTTTGTTACCAACAAACCATCTATCATTGCTCCACACTCGGTATAGTATGGTCCCTTTTTGTAGATGGCCCCCCCACTGACGAATTCTTAAAAAATGCCCTGATGATTATACTGCACTATATATCTAGAAAACGCCTGTTTCTTCACTTTACATAACATGAAGACGAAATTTATTCGACACATTGACAATGCTCTCTTGAACATTGCAATGTGCTACTTTTGTGCTGAAAGTCCGCTACCATGGCAACAGCGTGCTTAGAATAAGGCTCAAAATTTGTCTTTTTTCGGCCATTTTAAAAATCTCTTAGGGAAATTTTTTTGAGTTTTTCAACTATTGTACACATCAGTCTACAGGAACGTAGCAAAGCATCTGAAGTTGGGGGGAGGGGGATGGTCGGAAGATTTTACCTGAAATTTGAATTTTTAATTAATAAATATTTACCTAAAGTGTAATAATTATGATAAAGCTTTTTGTGATTGACTTGCACTGTCATACTAAGTTTCAGGAGAGAACGGGGGTTTGGGAGTCCTCCCCAAGAAAGTTGTTCCATTTTTGAAGCTCTAGGACTGCAATTCTGGCGTTTTCTAAAGCAAATTCGCAAACAAATTGGATGCACATTGACTGTATATTTTACAAATTAAAATGGTTATCATTTCACACAAATAATTACTTTATTACGCAAATTTTACCGAAAATATTAAAATTTTAACTCGAATTTTGAGTTTCACAGTTGGGAAGGGGGGGGGGGGGGGGGGGTTACACGTCACATCTCGCAAAAAATGCCAAAATTAAACCTAAATTTCTCTCTTTTCCTTCTGTAAATTGTTTTAAAACTTTGCACATTTCTTAATATCGGTTAAACATGCTCAATATCCTTTTTTCTTAAAATTTTATTGAAGGGAATAATCTAAGGGACGTTCCATAGAATTTTTTAACATTGAAGAAAAAAATTATTATACGAGAAAGATCTTTTGTGCAAATTTTTAAATTTTTAAAGCGGCCGGAAAAAGACAAATTTTGAGCTTAATTATCCAAACACGCTGTCACCATGGTAACGGACTTTCAGCGCAAAAGTAGTAAATTGCAATGTTCAGGAGAGCAAAGAGCATTGTCAATGTGTGCAATAAATTTCGTCTTCGTGTCATGTAAAGTGAAGAAACAGGAGTTTTCTGGATACAAAAGTGTAGTATAATGCAAAAACCCTATGGAGCCACCTTAAAATAGATTTTTATTATTAATTATTTTATGACTTTTAAACACAGAAATCATTCATGTTCATTCGTGGTTACTCGTGGTCACTCGTGGTCATTCGTGGTCACTCGTGTGTACTTTTAGACAAGACCCTTAACTAAACGCCAACCTTTACTAAACGCCTGCTACGCAGGCTACCTTTGGGCAGGGTCTCTGTAAAGAACGGAAACCGAAACAACCGAATCCGGAAATGACCGAAACCGGAAATTCCCGCCTAATTTCCCGCATGACGAATAATTATATTGTTGATGCTCGATGACTCGATCGCATGGCATATCATTTTAGATAAATATCGTCCGAATGTCGTAAGGTTGTATACTATTTAACTGCTGACAATTTTGTAATTTATTTAATAATCTTACTACATATTATTAACTTCCAGAACAATGCTGGTTTTGTTTAATTTAATAAAAACGATATTGCATTCACTTTATCATTTGACTTCCACTAAAATGGCACGCTCGTGATTTCGAAAACATTAAATACATGCTCATTTAAACGCATTCAAAGGCCCAATTTATTTGACCGCATTTTATAGCTTCAAATATTCAGAACTTTGTTCTTTCAGTCACAAGTAGTACAAGTATTATTACATTCAATCAAGGCCAATGGTAGTATTTTATTCGGCTTTTAATTTGCATGTGTATTGATTAACTCGTAATGTATTATCTGGAGCCTATATTTAATATATTGTGCGGCTTGTTAATGCTTCGTATTATTGTTATATACATTTCTTTATCCTGATGATGACTGAAATATAGTCGAAACGTTGATAAATATAAAAATGTTATCGATCTTTGGAGCTACACTTGTTTTATTCATTTCATTCGTTGGACATTTCACGCCGTGCGTTAATTTCACAGCTGACAGCTATGGTTGACAGTCTTTGTTTTTATCTCAGTCGACGCTGATTGGTTCGCGTTTACGGCAGTGCGGAAAAGGGGATGAATGAATAAAACGCATGGTTCATTGGTTTCGTGCAGGCTCACCTTTTTGCCAGTGAGCCTGCTCGCAGGCTGAATTTTAGGCAATTTTAGGCGGGAAATTAGGCGGGAATTTCCGGTTTCGGTCGTTTCCGGTTTCGGTCGTTTCCGGATTCGGTCGTTCCGGTTTCCGTTCTTTACAGAGACTCCTTGGGCCTGCACGCGGGCTATATTCAACTTAACTACGTGCTAGCACAGAGTAGATACTACACAGAGGTAGAACTGTATTACAAAACGCTAATGTTTGAGTGTAAACAAAAATCAACCACGTTCCCAGGGTCTTCATGAGGGAAGACCATGGTATCGGCTGGTCACGTGTCTCGTCCAAAATTTAGCGCCCGAGGGGGTGTGGGGAAAATATCAAAATACAAACAGTTAAAAACATAACATATACACACATTTAATCACATACAAAAATTAATAGCGATTAATATAGCGACAATAGCGATTAAGGTGGAGTAATATGGGCAACGAAATTGCTGCAACTTACACCAAAATCTGATTTCTGCGCATAATTAATTGAAATGTTCACACATTACAAATCACGAGGCAACTTGTGTCAACATTTCTACTTAACATGTGTTGAAATAAGATTTCGTTACAAGTTGCAGCAATTTTGTTGCTCGTATTACTCCAGCTTTAGCAACAATGCAGACTACCCACATGTACGCAGCGTGTACCTATTTTTATAATAAACTTCGCATACTAATATACCCCCGTTTTGAAAATCGAGACAAATTAAATTTCTCGAAGTCGAGATTGGAATTGACATTACATACTCGGCCAAAGACATTGGGCAAGCGTGAATGTGAAGAACTTCATGTTACGTCAAGAATAGTGTGCTGCTTGCCTGAGGGCAAGCAGCAAATATTATCGTGTTCCTAGGCAGCCTTGAAACAAGAGAATGTTTGACGTCATGACAGAACTGAAAAGCATTTTATCTTTCTTGTTTAGAGACGTATCGCGTTATCAAGCCGAGAATTGGATGATGAATTTTAGTTTGTAGTTTGCACTTTGCACTTTGCAGGCATAACTGCTCCGTCGCAATTAATTCCATTCCACAAACAGAGAGGTTTGTGGCGATTAAGATCAGGTGCCTGTTGTATAAGAAAGTAGTAAAAGTTAGCTCGGCAAATATCAGGATTTAAGGGGAATATCACTCGATTGAACTAATGTTGAAGGAATTTCTAGTTAAATAAATAAGATTAACGTTAACTACAGTTGTGCGAAATAAACCATTCAATATCTCGTCAACCAAATAAATTCTACAGTATGAGATAAATCTTTCTTAAATTAGTTATTTTGCTTCATCTAGACTGTGCTGATTTAGACAAAAACGGAAAAACAGAAAGTGGACTTTATCAAATTGATCCGGACGGCAGGGGTAGTACGTTTTAATGACGTCTGTGATATGACAACATCAGGAGAAGGCTGGACTGTGTTTCAACGTCGCCTTGATGGAAGTGTTAGTTTCTACCGAGGATGGCAATATTACAAACACGGCTTTGGTGACCTAAATGGTGAATTCTGGCCTGGACTGGATAAGATCAATAGAATTACAAGTGCTTCACACAATAAACTTCGCATCGACATGGACGAGACACTTCTGGAAACACGAAATATGCAGAATATGATTCTTTTGCCATCGCTAGTGAAGAGCAGCAGTATAGATTGAGTTTGGGAACTTTTCAATGGTAAGTGTTTCATTAAATAAACCGCGAGTTTACGGTCATATATCACAAATGCTAATGAGGAAACTTTAACGATAGTGCATGGAAACAATCGATTATTTATGCCGCACCTATCCTAAACATATATTTACGGCATCACAAATTTTTTATTGTATAACATGTGAAATAATGCTGATAATTCAAATAATTAAAAAAATTATTGTCATTGTATCTACTAATTGTGTGTATAAATATAATGGGCACCACCTAGACTTTCTAAAATCCTTTCCAGGCCCTTCTATGGCGCGCTCAACTCTAAAGGAGACGAATGAGATGTAGACTTTCCAAAGTCCTTTCCAGGCCCTTCTATGGCGCGCTTCACTTCTCGCGACTTCGTCGCTCGGGTCGCGCGCTCCCTCCCCCGCGCCCTCCCTCCCCCATGGTCGACTTGTGGAAAAATCTAGGCACCACCATACATATTGAACGAACAAGCAGGTTTTGTGATTGGTTGATTCAAAAGTTATTTTATCCGAAACCGCACGTGGCCCCACTGAGGTATTTATCAATTGTCCTGCTGCGGCCGGTTGTTCGACAGCCAAATAGCTTAACCCAACATAAAATTCAAAACAAATTTCCAAGAGCTTGTTTATAAATTTGGAAATCATTCTTCAGAAATATTGTTTGGATCAGTAGGATTTTTCTTCTCGGAAGTTTTGAACAGACGTGCAGAAATACTTAAACTAAAGCAGGAAGCTCAATTTTAACCCATGGTTAGCGCTAATCCATCTTTGAACAACTGCCCCCTGGTAAATTTATATTACAATGTATGCCATTATGAGGTTTGGACGAAACGTTTCTCCTTAGTTTTGAAAGAATTACAAAATTGGTCCTTAAAAAAAGTGTGTATGTGTGTGTGGGGGTTCGAACACTGACCCCGTGGCTACGCCTCTGACGAAACCTGTAATTGATCCTGCATTATCTCAAAGGTTTAACCTTTTTCTGGAGCGAGTTGAAAAGACCTATAAATAACATGTTTCAAATTGGCAGAGAATACTTTATTGAAGTTTTATGTTATTATTTTAGGTGCAGCAGGGGATTCTCTCTCGTACCAAAAAGGGATGGCTTTCTCAACTTATGATTCCGACAATGATGAAAATGGTAGCAACTGTGCCAGGCTGTACAAAAGTGCCTGGTGGTATAAGAGATGTCATCACTCCAATTTGAATGGTCTGTATTGGAGGTGTGCATCGGATCGAATTGGACGTTTATAATCCGACAATTGCCTGATGTGTAAAATCCGAACCAATCCGAAATTGTCTAATCCGAATCCGATCCGTGTTTCGATAAAGATTTCCAATCCGATCGGATCCGAAGAATTCTTTAATAAAATAGATTTCTCATTCAAGTTGAAATATTTAACCAAATATATATAAAAGAAATAAATACATGTCAAGAACAGTGGTCGTGGTCAAGAAGCTGACAAAGTGACGTCCAAGTGAAGTATCAAACGAATAATGTAGCGACAACCGCGTTAATGCTTTGATAAATACATGGATAATTAATTCTTGCGATAATGCGTGGATAATTAATTCATTTTATTTCGGATATCGAAGTCCGATCCGATCCGACTGCGCCGCAACAACTTTATCAATCAGATCCGATGCGAAATGAATATTTAATTTTGGTTCCGAAATCCGAACGAATCGGATTTGCACACCTCCAGTCTGTATCTTCATGGGGCACACAAGTCGTATGTAGAATAACAACATAACTCATTATCTATGTTAGTCAACGTTTATTCATAAATCTGGTCGTTCACCGTCATGCACGTGGGTATTGTATTTTTGCCAGATCCACCAATATAGTAATTTCCAATTTACTCTATTGTTCGAGTCGCGGATAAGTAACTTTCCTAAAACATTGCTATTGGTTAGTTGGGCAAAAATACAATACACACGTGACGGTGAGCGACCAGATTTATGAATAAACGTTGACTAACATAGATAATGAGTTATTTTGTTATTCTAATGAGTTTCCAAACCATCTATTCCATTAACTATGATTTCGCTAAGCACTTTGTCGAAAGATAGGTAGAATGTATTGATGCGATGATGCGCTTTCACACACGCGGTATTCGCGAATGTGGATTCACCGATAAGTGCTTGCAGGCGACGGGATGCATCAGTTTGTTCCGGGGTGCCCTTGCCTCTTTGAATACGAAACGAGATCCCTTGATGTCCTTTTTCATTTAATTGGACATGATCTGTGCTCTTTCCCACAAGAGATCAAAATTCTTTTCGTTGCGACATTTATACGGAGCGTGTTGATCGTGAAAACAGCATATCTTTTTGCAGTCACAACGTCGACGTCTTTCCCTTGTAGATAGTTACTTAGACTGCTTAATCAGTTGTATTTGATAATATCACCTTCAGAAGAATCAAGCCAAATAAGAATTCAAAATCACAATTTGTCTTGTAGTGCCAAGTTAATTAAGGATATGCGCTATTGTTATTATCTATCAACTATCAGGGGCCAGTTGTATAAAAAGTGATTAAAGTTTATAACTATAGTTAGTGGAAACGTCATTCAATAAGAAGCGCGTATTTGAAAGTTAATCACTATTTAACTGTCTACAAAATATTGATTAAAAAAGTGATTAAGAGTTTTATATACAACCGGCCCCAGGTTACATAATTCTTTTTTGCCCGAATCTGGGTGAATCGCTTGCCCAAATGGCTTGATTCTCAAAATTTGGGGGGGGGGCAGTTGCCCCCCCCCCTGCGTTCAAAAGGCCTACATCGAAAACCGATGGCCGCCTAACATAACATAAAATTAGAAAACTAAAAAGTAAATATAATCTTTGACTTGCATGCATGACAACACATTATATAAAACTTTTTTTACCCGCTTTAGTAAGATACATTATACACAACAAATACAATAATATACAAGAAATATATGATACGAATATGCTATAATTTACAATTATAGTTCTGGTTTAAGATAGCATTATATATATATATATATATATATATATATATATATATATATATATATATATATATATATATATATATATATATATATATATATTATAGTGTTCATGTTAATATAGAGTATTTGAGGAAGTGGGTGTGATGACTCGAGCTGAAGCACGTAAAAGCAAACCTAATTATAAAGGGAAGCAGTGTGTTTTTGTCACCAAGTACAACCCTCGAGTGTGTGACATAACCAGTATCATTCGTAAGCATCATGATATCATTGATGCTGATGAGCAGGCCTGTGAGATTTTGCCTGAACGTTCTATCCTAGTGGCCTATAGTAGGGGGGCCAATTTAAAAGAGCTGTTGGCCCCGTCTAATCCTTACCGAGGGGTTGAACCTGTAGGTCGGGGTTGTATTACATGTACAGCTAAGAGATGTGATTGCTGCAAACATTTTCTCACACCGGGCAATTCATTTAGTTCAACCGTGACCGGCAGGTTGTTTAGTATCCGTAAGACCTTGACGTGTACATCTGAGAATGTGGTTTACCTCGCTCAGTGTGTGGCTTGTGGTTTA